TCCTTTCCTCTATTCTTCCACCCACTCATACACTGTTGTCAGAGTTAAACCTTCTAATGTACTGCTTTGTACAAATCACTCCTTTGCTCACCTTCAGTTAGTCTCCATTGCCTTTTGAACTGAGTACAAACACTTCATCTTTGCATTCAAGATCCTTTCTGAATAGAGGACAAATTCCTTATCTTCTTTTTAAACCACAGTATCCAAAAATGAACAAAATACTTCAGATGAAGTGTAACAAGGGCAGAATGCAGAGGGACTATCACGTCTCTATTATTGGAAGCTATGCCCCTCCTTGATGAAGCCAGAGATCACATAAGCTTTTTTACTTATTCATAAAAGCAAACTCAGGGTGTTTATTGGACAAAAGTGTTGGTCTAGTTTTATATATAATTTATACAAAAGTACATATTTTAATGTGCTTACACATCTACTTTGCAAGGACAGGACTCTGATTAACCATTCATCCTCTAAGATGTGTTCATTTTTCAGTATATTACCGATTCTAATATAAATGATTTTATATTATCTTAATCTTAAAGAACATAGATGATCTATATGTAAACTTAGGCAAACAGGGCAAAAGCCAGATTAAATTCAATTTCTCATAAATAAATGTTGGCTATTGTGAAAAATAACAAAGGACTTTGACTTCTAGGAAAATAAAGTTGAATAAATAAAAAAATGCTTGGGGAAAAATTATGCTAGTGACATGTTCATTTTTAAGAGGATAATTTTTGAGAAAGCTAAGATTTATCACATTAACACAAAAACTGGAAAGGACCTCAGAAGCCATGTTGTTAGACCTCTACAGCATACTAGATAAATGGTCATCCAGCTTCAGCTAAAAGACATCTAGAGATGGGGAACACACTACCTGCCCAGACAGTCCATTGCACTTTTAGCTCTGACAGAAAGTTTTTCCTCAAACTAAGCCTAAATCTGCTTCTCTGAAACTTGTGCCAGTATATTAAGAAGAACAAGTTGAAACCCTCTCCTACATGTCAACCTCCTAGATAGCTGAAGAAAGCTTTTCTTGTACCCCACCCAGTAATTCTTCTTCTAGGCTAAATATCAAAACTAGGAGCCCTTCACTACAGTTTTTCCTCCTTTGGACACTTTCCAGTTTACAAATGTCTTTTCCAGATATGGCAGGCAAAACTGAACTTGATACTCTAGATGTGGTTTATCCAGAGTAGAGTATGCTCTATCACATCCCTCTTTTCTGAATATCATTCCTCTGATGTTGCCTAAGACCACATTTCCTTTTTTTTAAACTATTATATCACACTGATATCTATTTTGCTGAATATTAACAAAAATTCCTCCAGAGATTTCAGTTGTATTTAGTTCTTTTCATTCCTTCATGGATTTTTTTTTCCAGTTCTACTTCAAATCTCCTAACTGTACTAAAAAAAATTTTTTGGGGGGGGCAGGGGAGGAAGGAAGAATTGCTTTTAATTCTTAAAATTTCTTGACAGTATGGTCTAGTGAATAGAGAGCTGGTCTTGGAATCAATCAGGAAGACGTGGGTTCGAGTTCTGCCTCTGACATAGAGTCTTTGCCAAGTCACTTCCTCTCAATGTTCTAGGCAATTCTCTAAGACTCTCAGTTGCAGAGAAGGTGCAGTTGGGAGAGGAATTTTCTCATCGAAGAGTTCCCCATATCAGTGAAATCACAGGTCCTAAACCTATCCTTATCCCCAAGTCTCTTCAGGACTTCTTGTACTTCTCCTGAGTTTCAATTTTTCTTGCTCTTCTTACTTCCTAATAATGAAACTGCCTATTACAGACCTGATTTAAGAAGCACTGAGAAAGTATTTACCTTTTCCTAGCCCATTCCCAGTAACCCTATTCTCTGCCACCCATTCCATTATGGTAGTAAATAGCTTTCTCTCAGGATAATGCAACAAATTTAGAAATGTCCTAACTGAAAACCTCCTTGGATCAAGGGTATTGGTAGATTGGGTTTCAAAGGTCTTCCATATTTGAATACTAGTTTGCCTATAGAAAATTATTTCAAAAAGCAAAATAGCCACTACCTCCTAAAAAAGGGGGTCATCAAAAAGCAAGTAATGAAAAGGAGTACAAAACTTGAAAATACAATTTACACAGTTCATTAACATCCAAATAAAGTGAGCTTATTGAAGAATTTACCAAAAGGTGAAGGAAACCTATTAGCCAGACAGAAATACCATAAAAAAAAAAGATTTGTTTGGTGTGCAATGTTAGGATTAACAAAAACTGCAACTCCAATATAATATTTTAATTAAAATACATTTGTTTACAGGGATTAAAAAAGCAAAATGCATACATTTCATATTGCTAATAGGTTGCATGAATACATAATACGCAGTTGGGAAAACAGAATGAATTAAACTTCTTTAAAGCAAGAACTTTTTCATAATCATTTTTATTAATGTCAGACTTCTTTCCTCTCTTCTTTTGCTTTCTTCTCACATTGATATTAGCTCTGCTCTTAAATAGCCACTAAATGAGTCATGATCCTAACAGATCAACTCTTTTAGTTTCCTCAAACTTTAGAAGTCATAAATCTAAATGATTTTATCTTTGATTCATGACATGCCTTATAAATATGTATTGGAATTACTCTGGCTCCTCAAATGAATTCTATAGTTTCAATAAAAAGCAGAGTGCTTGAATCAAGCAAATAAGAGAAAAACTGTCCTAAAAGAAATATTTGGTAGCATGAAATCCCCTCATTTTAATAAAACTCACTTAAATCTACAGATTTTATTTCTAAATTATTTAGCTATCAAAAACTAGCAGCAAAAAACAAAACATTTTTAAAATATAAAAAACAGAAGCAGTTATCTATCAAAACTTCTTCAATATACAAGAATTTAGTGCTTAAGATTGTAGTAGTGTCCAAGTTTCAGAGGGGCTAAGCAGTAACTTCAGAATAATAGGCTTTATGTTATTTCTACCTATATTTTAAAGTCAAATTTAAAATAACTATTATCCCAAATCAGAAAACAAAGCATGACATAAACAGCAGAAAGGTTTATATACTCATCTTTATTCCACCCACCAAAAGAAGTTTAAAAAAATTTTCATCATAAAAAGGAATAATTCAAAGAATAGTTATTAAAGGGCAAACAGAGGAAAAAGGAAAATTTCATCAATATAAATTGATTTATGGTATAGGAAATCACTATCACAATGTAGGGAATTGAAAAAGAGCAATGTGGAATAAGTCAGAAAAGATGAAAATTTTTTAAAATGTTACTTACATACAAACATTTTATCAAGTATTTAAAAATGAGGAATGTCAATTAAAGAACATATATGTGCTAAGTGAAATTAATGCTGATGACATTAAGTATATAGTCAACAAACAAAAAGGAATCTCTCCATATGTATGTGTTTACTCTGAAGAAGAAAGAAGTTGAAACACAGCAAATGGCCACAAATTTCCTTAAATTTTTTCTTGTCTGCAGTAAAACAGACCCTCAGGCTGCAGGTATTAGTTGTGCATGGTGAAAACCTATTAAATTCAATTATACCTTTTCCAAAGATGTTGATGATTCCTATCATGTTTTACTTTTACATATATTTAGGTCACAATTACAGGGTTCTATTGTTGTAACACAAAGTCCAGGATGAAATAATGAATACAAAATGAAGAGGAAGAGTTTTGCTACCTAAAAAATAAAGTTCATGTCCTAAATATAAGCTCTCTCTATAAAATAGAAAAGGTTAAGTTATCTTAAATCACTGCTTATTTCATAGTCCACATGGACTGGATGATGTGTTCGGTGTCAGTAGAAAACATGAAGACATCAAGGCGTTTAATTTTGTGATACTTGATCAGAAAAATGCACACAAACTCAAGACAACTTAAGTTCAAGCAAATGACTACTGCAAAATCTAAGATGAATATGTCTATATTAGATGTACAGAAGAGATGTATTCCTGAAAATATAAATGTTAAAGAAAATCATATTTTAAATGCAATAAGTCAATTTCCTACTAAAGGAAAGTTGTGATTATGCATTTTGAAAAGCTGAGAGTCTTGCTTGCAATATGAATTATTTACCTTATTTATTTATTTTGAAGGTTCAGATTTTCTTTAAATGTGGACAGGCACATTTTATGTAAATAATGATCTGGCTTTTTATCAGAATATTACATAAAGAGCAACAAAAAGACTATGGTATGTACTTGGAGTTTTGCTTTGTTTCCTACATGACAATCCTTTTTAAAACCTTTATAAATTCTTCAGAAATAAGCCAGTCATAAAACCTCAAAGTTATAGTGATTACACTGTTATACTTATTGGTAACTGTTATACTCTGACAGTTAATCGAGTTTCTCACCCCCTAGATAACAATGCTTATTCAATAGCAATATAAGCTAGAATCAGATAAAAAACAGTTAAACAGAAGGTTCTGAAGTAACAAAATTGCTTAAAGTAACCTGATCTCAATTTTCCTGTATCATATCCCTCAACCTTCATTTCCAAACATGCTCAAGCCTAAATTCCCTTCTGATACAATATTTTCTTTTATCTTAAGCCCTATTCTTTCCATCACCCTGATTCTACTCATATTCCAAATGGGGCCATATTTTCTACATGCTGTTTGTGGTCTTGTTTCCATCTTCCAAGAAGTCTCCAACATTTAGCAGTTAATTCCCTCCCCGTACCATCACATACTAGCTGGGTGACCTTAGGCAAGTCACTTAACCTCTGCCTAACTCAGTTTCCTCAACTGTAAAATAGGGATAATAACAGCACCTACCTACCTGGGTTGTTGTGAGAACAAATGAGATTAATATTTGTAAAGCATACAGAGTCCAGCACGTGGAAGGCACTATATAAATGTGTATTCCATTCTCCTTTCTCTTGACTCATGTGTTGTTTTGCTATCCCAATTAGGCTCAAACAAATTACATATCTCCTGGCCTGGTATTCACATAGTCCCCACCCCATCCCCTCAGTTCTAGGATTCCTTATACAAACTGGCCTCACAAGTCACATACAGGAATCCTGTTTCGATTAAGTGTTTATTGAAATCCACCAATGTTTTCACTACTATTCAGCATGTTCTCAATAATAGTCTTACTTCATCTTATCTTTATATTGTAAAAGGTCTATCAATTCAGTTTTTATGCAAACATTCATATAAATGTAGGGAAATACAAAGGGAAGAGATAGGATTTATAATGCACATATATATAAAAACTCAGTATTCTGTGAATTATACATTTCTAATCTTTTGAAAAGGAAAATTTAAATATGGGAAGTAACTGCAAAATAAACCAACCTTACTCTAAGGTCTGTCTGCTAACATTTTCAAAACAAAAGGTTAAGGGGTACTGACAGAAACTGACATCTATCAGTCTTTGACATGAACATGAAATATCCTGGTGAATTCTTCAATTATACTTCTTGCATAACTGATCAAGATTTTAGATACATTCTAAGGCAAAAATTCATTGACAATTAACAACAGGCCAATCAAGATGGATGATTATGCTCAATGATTTCCTAAAATTAAAAGGAAGCTTAAAACATGATAGGAAAATCAATTATTACTCAATTTTTTAAAGTGACAAACATTTAAAATTCTTTGTATCTTCTTCCCAAATTACTTGCATTCTGATGAAACAGATATACTTCACCAGCTGATGTCTTTCCATCTTTTTCTCTTTAATGAATATGACTTTGGTCTGTATTTTATTATTTTAGAATTCCTTTTCCTTCTTCAAAACATGCAGTTCATACATTTGACAGTTTTACTGCCATAGTCGATACATTCTGGTCCAATACATTCGCAACAGGCATTATGGAACCAGCGATATTTAGAGGCTCCCATGGATTCACAAGAGATCTTACACTGATGTATTGACATACAGTCATCAAAATATACCACAGTACACATGTGTTCTGGAAACAAAAAAAAAAAGATACAGGATATGAGAGGGAGAAAGAAAAATGAAAAAAATTAGCAATGCTTTTTGTAATTATTATATTTAACATTCATTTATCTCAATTCTTCCATTCAAGCTCCATGGATCTACTACTTGCCAACCCTACATAGGAGGAAGTCAAGTGTCTCCAATGCAGCATAAGTGTAAGAAGGCTTTCTTATTTATAGCTTAATTCCAACCTTAGCCTTTGATCAGAAAATTATCACTTAACATTAGCATGGTTCTAGTTGTTATGCCAAACATATGGTCAAAGGGCATAATATTTAAGTGATCTAGGTACTATTTTTTCAGAATTCCAGTTTATATTATATGGTACTGAATGTTCACAAAGCACCTTTCACACATATTACCTCATCTTGACTCATGTGTGGATAACTACAGTATAGAGAAGTGATTTTCAAACTTAGTGGTCTTAGGACTCCTTTTATACTCTTACAACTATTGAGGACTCCTCAGTACTCTAAAAATTATTGAGGATCTCAAAGAGCTATTGTCTATGTGGGTTATCAGAAATAACTGATCAATTAAAAATCTAATTCATTAAAAGAATAAACTCATTTCATATTAGTATAAATATTTTTTATAAAAATAACTGTTTTCCAAAACAAAAAAAAATTAGTGAGAAGAGTTTTGCAAATATCTTTAATGTCTGGTCTAATAGAAGATAGCTGGATTCTCCTATCTGCTTCTATATTCAGTCTAATCAAGTATATGAAGAAAACCTGGCCTCACAGAGATGTAGTTGGAAAACACAGAATTATTTTTAACAGGCAAATAATATCTTTGTATTTTAGTAGGCAAATAACATCTTCGTATTATTATGAGAATAGTTTTGATTTCACAGACTCTTTCAGGAGACAGGGTCTTGGGAATCTCCCAGGGGTCTGTTGATAATATTTTTTGAGAACTGCTAATGTAGATAGAAGATCCAGTGTAAACATTAACTGCCCAAGGGTCCTCACTGATCTCAAAGGTTCTTCAGTAATGCAAACTATCTCCATCAAAATTTCGAATGTAGGGGCAGCTAGGTGGCGCAGTGCATAGACCAGCCATGGAGTTAGAAGAAGGACCTGAGTTCAAATCTGGCCTCAGACACATAACCCATACTAGCTGTGTGACCTTGGGCAAGTCACTTAACCCCATTGCCTAGCCAAAAAAACCCCAAAAAACAAAGGACAAACAACAAGAGTGTAAACACGTTAAAATGCTTGTAAAATTTGGAATGTATGTGTAAATAAAACTAAACCTTTTAAAAAATACTGCTTGAACCATTAATATTGACTTTCAATTCATTTTTTAAAAATCATTTTTTGTTGTTATCCCCTGTTCTTTTTTTACATTACCATTGTCGTCTCAACACACCCCACCACACTCTTTCCCGCTCCATCCCCAGGAGCTTTCCAACATAACAAATAATAATTTTTAGAGAGGAAAATAAAGCAACTAATCAACACACTGAAAAAGTCCAAAAACACATGCAAGTTTTCACGTCTGTGGCACTCCCACTTCCATGAAGGGGTGAAGTGAGGATGAATATTGACTTTCAATTCTACATTTTGAAATGTTACTTTTCCAAAGATATACTACTTGTCAAAGCTAAACATTAGGTAAGAGAAACATAACCCAATTACTTGATGTCTCTATACTTTTAATATGTCTACTGTAATGCTGTTTGAGTCTTCAATGAACAAATATTTATTGAATTCCTACTATTCTTGATTGACTGAATAATTAACATTACCCTAGAATTCAAGCTCCCTGAGGACAAGTGCTACTTTGTTTTTATTTTGTATCCCAGCATATTTACTTGCTTATAATAAATACTGTTGAGTCCTACACACAAGTTTTACTTTAAAAAAATTTTTAATTTCATTTAAAAAATTTTGAGTTCCCAAATCTCTCCCTGTCAAGCCCCTCTCCCACTCACTGAGAAGGCAAGCAATATGATACATGTGAACTCATGTAAAACATATTTCCATATTAGCCATGTTACCAAAAAAGAGGAAGAAAAATTAAGTGAAAAATAATTGCTTTAATCTGCACTTAAAATTCAATAGTTCTCTCTCTGTAGGTAGACAGCATTTTTCATAAGTCCTTTGCAACTGTCTTGGATCACTGCATTAAATCTTCCACAGTTGATCATCATTGGGCTATTCTGTGCACAATATTCTGCTAGTTCTGCTCACTTCACTTTGCATCAATTCATATAAATCTTCCCACGTTTTTCTGAAACCATTCCCATGGTCATTTCTTGTAGTAAAATAATATTCCATCACAATCATATATAGGACAATTTGTTCAGCCATTTCCCAAATAATGAATATCCCCTCACATTCCAATTCTTTGCCACCACAAAAATTGCTGCTATAAATATTTTTGTTCATATAGGTCATTTTCCTTTTCTTTTGATCTCTTCAAGATACAGACCTGGTAGTGGTATTAAAAGGTCAAAGGGTACACATAGTTTTATAGCCTTTTGGGTGTAGTTCCAAATTGTTCTCCATGATGGTTGGACCAATTAAGTTCCACCAAAACAGCATTAGACTATTTTTCCACATGCCCTGTAGCATTTGTCATTTAATTTTTCTGTCATGTTAGCCTGAGAGGTGCAAGGTGGTACCTCTTAGTTGTTCTAATGTCATTTTGCTATTATTGGTGACTTAGAGCATTTTTTTCACATGACTATTCATAACTTTAATGTCTTTTTCTGAAAATTATCTGTTAATATCCTTATATCGATTGGGGAGTGGCTCATATTTTTAGAAATTTGGCTCAGTTGCCTTTAGATTTGAGAAATGAGGCCTTTGTCAGAGAAATTTGCTATAAAATGCTCCCCCCTTCAGTTTCCTTTCTCTCTAATTTTGGCTTCAATGGGTTTTTTTTTCTGCAAAAACTTCTTAATTTCATGTAATCAAAATTATCCATTTTACCTCCCATGATCCTTTCTATCTTGTTTGGTTATAAAATCTTTCCTTATCCATAGATCTGATTTTATTCCATGCTCCCCTAATTTGTCTAAATCATGTATCCATTTTGACCTGATTTTGGTATACAGTGTGAGATTTTGATCTATGCCTAGTTTCTGCCAGACTACTTTTCAGTTTTCACAGTTTTTGTTAAATAGTGAGTTCTTGCCCCAGTAGCTGGGATCTTTCGGCTTAAGAACAGTGGATTACTATAGTCATTTGTCTCTGTATATTGTTTACCTAACCTATTTCACTGACCAACCACTCTATTTCTTAACCAGTACCAGACTGTTCCGATGATTATCACTCTGTAAGATAGCTTGAAATCTGGTACTGCTAGGCTACTTCTCTCACATTGTTTTCATTAATGCCCTTCATATTCTTGACCTTTTATTCTTTTAGATGAATCCTGTTATTCTTTTCTAGCTCTATGAAACAATTCTTTGGTAGTTTGACTGGCATGGCACTGAATAAACTAATTTAGGTAGAGTTGTCATTTTTACTACGTTGACTCAGCCTCCTCATGAACAATTAATATTTCTCCACTTGTTTATATATATATCTTTATTTGTGTGAAAAGTGTTTTGTAATTGTGTTCATACAGTTTCTATGTGTGTCTTGGCAGGTAGACTCCCAAGTATTTTATACTGTTCGCAGTTATTTTAAATGGAATTTCTCTTTCTATATCTTCCTGCTAGGTGTTGTTGGTAATATATAGAAACACTCATGATTTACATGGGTTTATTTTATATCTTGCAACTTAGCTAATTTTGTTTCAAGTAAATTTCAAGTACAGATCTTTAGTTCATTCTCTAGGGTTCTCTAATTATACCATCATATTACCTGTAAATAGTGATAGTTTTGTTTCCTTATTGTCTATTCCAGTTCTTTCCATTTCCTTTTCTTGTCTTATTGTTATAGCTAGCACTTCTATTATGATATTGAATAAAAACAGTGATAATGGCTATCCTGATCTTATCAGGATGGTTTCTAGATTATCCCCACTGCAGATAATGCTTGCTGATAGTTTTAGATAAATACTACTCGTCATTTGAAAAAAAAAAACTCCATTGATTTTTAAGCTGTTTTTAATAGGAATGGGTGTTACATTTTATCAAAAACTTTTTCTGCATCTATTGAGATAATCATGATTTCTGTTGGTTTTTTCACTTATATGATCAATTACGCTGATAGTTTTCCTAATATTGAATTGGCCCTGTATTTCCTGGTGTATATCCCACCTGGTCACAGTGTATGATCCTTGTGATGTATTCATGTAATCTCCTTGCTATTATTTATTTAATTTTTTTGCATCAATATTCATTAGGAAAATTTTGGAAAATTAGGAAAATGTAGTTTTCTTTCTCTGTTTTGGTTCTCCCTGGGAGCCCATTGATGGCTTGTTCGTTTCCTCCACCTTAGACAGGATTATTTAAGTATTCTATTTCCTTTTCTATTAATTTGGGCAATTTATATTTTTGTAAATATTCATCCATTTCACTTTGATTGTTAGATATATTGGTATATAATTAGGCAAAATAGGTTCCAACAATTGCTTTAATTTTATCTTCATTGCTGGGGCATTGACCCCTTACATTTTTGATACTGGCAATTTGGTTTTCTTCTTTTTAAAAATGAAATTAACCAACAGTTTATATATTTTGCTTTTTTTTTCTTAAAAAAAAGTTCCCACTTTTATTCCATTTTTTTCCTTTCAATTTTATTCATCTCTCCTTTGATTTCCAGAATTTCCATTTTAATGTTTAATTGGGGATTTCTAGTTTTTTTTAATTGCATGCCCAATTTATTGATCTGCTCTTTTTTAAATTACATAAATGTTTAGAGATATTAATTTTCCCTTTTGCATTCCTTTGGCTGTATCCCACAAATTTTGATATGTTGTCTCAATGTTGGTATTATCTTTAATGAAATTGATTGTTTCTATGATTTGTTCTTTGACCCACTCATTCTTTAGAATAAGATTAGTTTC